AGTTCTTGCCGTGTCTACGAGTGAGTAATTTCCTTTATCTACGATAATAGGCTTTATTACCGTAGAATATGGAGGAAGAGGGGGGAAGAAAGATCGGGGATGGTATGAAATATGTACACATGACTCGTTCCACTGCTCATACGTATGTATATAGGAAGGACACATGCATACAGATATGTGTAAATTTATGTATGTGTGAGTGCGGTTTATTTAAACACAAAGATATATATTTTCCCATACACACTTCCGGTAGTGTGCACGGGGTGGGGGTCTTGATGGGTGGCGGGTGGGGGTCTTGATGGGTGGTAGGTTGGGTCTTGATGGGTGGCAGGTGGGGGTCTTGATGGGTGGCAGGTGGGGGTCTTGATGGGTGGCAGGTGGGGGTTTTGATGGGTGGCAGGAGGGGGTCTTGATTGGTGGCAGGTGGCGTCTTGATGGGTAGCAGGAGAGGGTCTTAATGGGTAGCAGGTGGGGTCATGATGGGTAGCAGGTGGGGTCATGATGGGTGGCAGGTGGGGTCTTGATGGGTGGCAGGTGGGGTCTTAATGGGTAGCAGGAGGGGGGTCTTGATGGGTAGCAGGTGGGATCTTAATGGGTAGCAGGACGGGGGTCTTGATGGATAGCAGGTGGGGTCATGATGGGTGGCAGGTGTCGGCACTACTGGAGGGAGGCTGGTCTGGTGCTCTGCCTGGTATTGTCATCAAGTTCTCGATCTGAAGCGTCCACCATCTTAGCTTTATCAGTGTTAATACCTTGACCAAGGCAATGCATATTGCAACAGGAATTAACAGCTTAGTATTGGCTTTGCAATGTGTAAGGTCACTCTTGATGAGACTTTCCTAAATTCATTCAAGGATAAGAGTAGATATACTCAAAATAAATCACGGTATGGGTGGGGATTGAACTCGCGGCGAGTCGTAAAACTCCAGGCCAGCGCGTAAGCGCAATGGCGTCATTACGATTTCGTGAGTCCGATAGTGCCCACTTATTTCGGTCTTCTGGTAAACCTACTACTTCCACTATCATCATTACCACTATTTACTTTTCTTCCTCTGTTGGTCCCGTCCCTGTCCTTCTTGCCTATTACCTGGAGTTTACCTGGAGAGAGTTCCGGGGGTCAACGCCCCCGCGGCCCGGTCTGTGACCAGGCCTCCTTATATATACAGACTCTCTCTCTCTCTCTCTCTCTTGTGTTAGTGTGACTTTGTAAATGGTTCAAGTCAGATCGATATGTCGTCGTAAGCCTCTTTCCTTCCTATGAAAGGGTTATTTGTGTACCTAGAATCATAGGCCGGCGATAGCAATGTTTATGGGTGTAAGGTTAAACTCGTTGCTGGAGAGTCATCCACTTTGTACCATAAGGAGGATCTTGCGGAGTCAACTGTCAAGGATGTGTCGTCTCTATCAGGGTCGTACAGCTCTTCTGTCTTGTGTAGTTGTCGTGTCGTTTCCAGACGAACGTTAATGACAGCTGTATCATGAATCCCGTGGAGATCTCCATTCTGTCCCTCAAAGGAGCATCACAAACCAAGTTGTGCTCCCTAGTCACCACAAACGAAATTTGTGCTCCCTGGTAACCACAAACGAAGCTTGTAGTGCCTAGGGAGTTTAAGCACAAATGTTGATCCTTTGTATTTTGTCTTCCCATTTGATTTGTAATAATAATAATAATAATAATAATAATAATAATAATAATAATAATAATAATAATAATAATAATAATAATAATAATAATAATAATAATAATACAAACGTTAATAGAAGAACTTTTGTTTTGTATTCTAGATATTGTCTTCTATTTTTCTTAATTCAGTTATCTTGCTTCCTCTCTCTCTCTCTCCTTGCACAGGTACATTAATTTCCGGCTTGAGTGAATCTCTAGTAAGTCCGAGGGTTCCTGTGCTTCCTATATTGGCTGCAATACCTGCCTTCCTTGCCCCTGCTTTTACCCGGATCATTTCATTAAGGCGTTATTAGAGAGAAAGAGAAAGAGAGAGAGAGAGAGAGAGAGAGAGACTACTCCAATAAAGAATAAATAGAGATTCTATATATAATGCAACAAGATCACAGTAAACGGGTTATTATATAAGATCACAGTAAACAGTTTGCTATATAAGATCACAGTAAACAGATGATATCACAATATGAGGTGATATATGAGGTGAAATTTCAGCCTTATAAGTCTTCTGGTCTTATATTTATTTTAATTATTCCTTGATAATGTGAGAAATCACGAAATCGGTTGGAATTTTCACTATTTTTTTCACTATGCTTATTTTGCATGCTATATAATACGAACTTGTACTCTATCACTGGTCCTAGTGGATGTGTTAGCATCTTTGCAGGTTTTCAGACGCATAATGCCCCCTTTCTTTGTTTTTTTCAGGGTGCATTTCCTTCCCTATTTATATTCAGGCCTTCTGGCCAGTCCGCTCCGTACAGGATTGTTCTCCTTTCCGCACTGCTGATGGCTTGTACGGCACTTGGGGCAAGCCGGTCACATACTCTGGTGAAGGCGTTAGTGTCTCCCTCTGGCCTGGCTGATGTTATTGGATTATTAGTCAGGCAAAACTCCTTTACCACGGATCTCTCACATATGATAACCCGTTCAGGAGTGTCGTTGGGCCTGTGAACGAGCCAGGATTCGGTGGCTGAAGGGCTGTTCTTTCGGCTGCTTGATCCACCGTCTTTTGTTGCTATATAGGGCCAGACTGAGCAGCGCTGTAAACACGAACGACGAACTTTCTAATTAATAATAAGGAAATAAGATAATTGGATGTTGTAGCCTTGCTGGGCTCGTTCCGGTTAACCTTTATCTAAAAATTTTAAAGGGAGGACGAGATATGAAAATACAGGAGGAAAAATATAGTAAAAAAAATTATATAGAGAAGAAAAGAGAGGAGGACTAGGATGGGGAAGATGATAGGATGGAATAAAATGAGAAAAGAGAAGGAGAGGAAGGGAAGAGAAGGACAGCAAGGGAGACGATGATGAGGAAGCGGATAAAAATGAAAAAGGAAGAGTAGGGACAATAGGAGAAAGAAGAGGTGGGAGGGAGGGGGGCAGAAAGTGCCTTTAAGACATAAGCCTCTGCAAGACACTTCATAAATGAGCACTATGAGTGAACCTCTCCAGAGCTCAGCTCAACGTTAGCTGGATTCATTCACACAGACGCGAGTTGCTCCGTCGGTGTGAAGATAGTGAAGGGTGATGGCAGGGATGTATCCTGGGCGCTTTCTTAAATACCAGAGTCACGGGGAGATGGCACTATGACCACTGCAGTGTGGTAGGTGGTTACTAGATGGCACTATGACCACTGCAGTGTGCTAGGTGGTTACTAGATGCACTATGACCACTGCAGCGTGCTAGGTGGTTACTAGATGGCACTATGACCACTGCAGTGTGGTAGGTGGTTACTAGATGGCACTATGACCACTGCAGTGTGGTAGGTGGTTACTAGATGGCACTATGACCACTGCAGTGTGGTAGGTGGTTACTAGATGGCACTATGACCACTGCAGTGTGGTAGGTGGTTACTAGATGGCACTATGACCACTGCAGTGTGGTAGGTGGTTACTAGATGGCACTATGACCACTGCAGTGTGGTAGGTGGTTACTAGATGGCACTATGGAGCCAAGTAGTCACTAGATCGCACTATGCCCAGTGTTTACTGTGGTAGGTGGTTACTAGATGGCACTATGACCAGTTTTTACTGTGGTAGGTGGTTACTAGATGACAATATGCCCAGTGTTTACTGTGGTAGGTACTTACTAGATGACACTATGCCCAGTGTTTACTGTAGTAGGTGGTTACTAGATGGAACTATGACCAGTGTTTACTGTGCTAGGCGGTTACTAGATAGCGCTACGCCCACTGTGGTGTGGTAGGTGGTCACTAGATAGCACTATGTTCACTGTAGTGTGGTAGATGACTACTAGATACCAATTTGCCCACTGTAGTGTGGTAGGTGGTCAACAGATGGCACTATACCAGTGAGTGGGGGATTCCTAGCTGGCAGTTGCCTGGGCTTCAGCAGTGAACCACTAAATAGAAGCAACAACATTAGTAAAACCTGCTTCCATTCCCTAAAAATATATATATATATATATATATATATATATATATATATATATATATATATATATATATATATATATATATAAATCTCTTTCTATCTCCCTGACTTTTTCCTCCCCGCCTTTAATTACGAAAATTCCCAGAATGAACAATTTCATATAAATCCTAACGCTCAACAGACTCTTCTTACATATAAAAAAAATATTTCTGAATATCACGGTGCTTCCCCCCCCCCCAAAAAAAAAAAAGGTTGATTAAACATACGGAAATTAATAATGAATTCTTGGGTTTGATGGAGCAGCGAATATGAGATAATATTAGCGAATAAATGGTACTAAATGGCACTACTGCTTTTTTTGTGACGACCGTGACCACAGTTGAATGTTGTTATTATTATTATTATTATTATTATTATTATTATTATTATTATTATTATTATTATTATTACATCAAATCATAATTAAAAGGTGAACCTAAAAGGCCACAAGGATTGAATGTAATGCATTACGAAAAGGCCATTTGATGAACTTTTACTTAATTTAATTTAGTTGAATTAGGCTAAATTAAATTGAGCTTATTATAATAAGGTTAGGTAAGTTTTCTAAGGTTCTTTTGGTACAAAATTATTAATTTTTACATTAACATAAATGAAAAAAATATATCTTCAAACGTATAAGAGAAAATTTAAAAAAGGACTTAATTTTAAATGAGTTTTATTAATGTCATGGCAGATAAATGAGGATAATAATGAGTACAAACTGTCATAAAGCTACATAGATATATAGCAGATTGAAGGAAGTTATAAATGAGTTAACTGGGGAAAGATGAGGCGGCGGCTGGCGGCTGACGGCTGGCGGCGGCGGCGGCCGCGGCGGCTGCGGGAGAGGTGGACAGGGCAGAGGAGATTCAGTGTAGTGCCGTG